AGGTACATCAGGTGTCAGATACAAAAGAAAGCTTCCTTGACTCTTTTAAATGGAAAGTAAAGTTTCCTCAACAATCCTAGGACAAGCACAGCTACCTCTACTCTTTTAAACTGAAAGTAAACAGAAAATAAACTGTTTTTTTTAAACTGAAAATAAAGCTTCCTCAACACTGTTCCCTCAAATATTCTCAGGACAGGAACAGAACAGTTAAATATGATCAAAGCTCTCTCTACTCTTTGAACTAAAAGTAAACTGAAAGTAAAGTCCCCTCAACACCATCCCCATCAAACACTCCAGGGAAACAGTCCCTGCTGGGGCACTGTATTGAAATCAAACACAAATTAACAGTCAAATGGAAACTTATAGAACAAAACAGAAACTTACTGAATTAAAATAACATTGTCTGGGGTGATGATGTACTCCAGCCTCCGCGGCAAACATCAGTCTCTAAAGGCCTCAACCATTCCTATGAGCACTGCGTGTTCCCTCTCCAGGGACACCTGAATGCAGATATAACCGCAAAAGAGGGGCAGACAGTCTGGAACAATGAGCCCCTCCATGGCCCTCTGCCTGGACCTGTTGACTGTCACCTTGGTCAGGCCCATGAGCAAGATAAGGTCAATCAACTTCTCCACCCCTCCCTGCACTAGGTGCCTGTGGATCAGGCGTGGGACTGAACTGCAACCAAAATTGAAAATGCAGCCCCTTCAAAAAACTAAAAAGGTGCTGCAAACGGAAACATTCTACATAGATGTGAATCACTGTCTCCTCAGGCCATGAGGCCTGGCACACAGTGAATTCACTTGGTCTACAATTACAAGGGACTGCTGCATGCAGCACTCCAACCCACAGCCCTGATTGAAAAGGGAGTACCCCTTTGTAGAGGGTCCTCCACTGGAGATCTCCGCCATCATGCCAAGATGAACATCTCCATAATAAAGTTTCTGTTGTTTAATACTTCAGCCTCCCAGTCCTTCAAGGAACCCAACACCACCCATCCTCATGTATTTCACCCATCTTACCCACTCTCCCCATTCTACAACATTACTTACCTCATGCACACCTCCCGCCTACCCACTTACTTACTTCAGTTACCTGTCCACTTAGTTTTCCCATCCAACATAATTAACCACCCTACCCACTCTATATATTCGCTCATTCATCCACTCAGCCCTTCACTAACATTCAAACTGGGCCTTACTGTAAGGTGGATGGGGCTTGTCCTGTACACCCACTGATTCTACTTCACTTTTGTGGAGGTCATTGAAGGAAGCTGAGATCCACGTTTATGGAAAAGTCAGGCTCAGAAGGTTTCAGAAGAAATGCTGAGCAATGTGTAACCAGGAGAATTTACAAGCAGATGGCAATCCAACAATGATTGTCACTCCTCAGAATATCCACACACAGGGCACAAATGTAAAAGTGAGATTGCCACTCCTTGAAATATCTGGCCATTGGTGCTCTATTGTTTTTTAAAGCTCTGGCTTTCTCTTACTTTTTACGCAGTAAGAGGAAATAAGGGAACATTAATAAAAGGTGTGAAGTAGCTCAATATTCCATTATCTTAATGCCAGCATTCTCAAAGCCAAGGACCAATTCCACCTCCCGGAAACACCTACCAATGTATGGTCAGAGATGTGGCTCTAGGATTGGACTCATCAGCCACATATGGACCCATGGAATCCAATGACACAGAATTTCCTCGGTGGACAATCATACTCTTTAACACATGATTGCAAATGATGATGATTCTTAATGTTCACATCAAATTAAAAGATACAACGTTGGAACTGTTGTTTTGATGGATCAATTAGCTGTTTAGCTTTCTCTTTCTTGGAAGTAGTTTGTGCTTAGAAAGGAAATTGTTAGTGTGTACTTCACCTACCAATGGCCTTGGAGTAGAGGCCAATTGTGCCATTGGTCTTGGGATAGGAAAATAGAAACAGCTAACACAACATAGATTGGCATCAAATCTGGGAAGTTTTCTGATCTGTACAAGTGTACATGCTACACTTTGCCTTTGGAGGAAATTAAAATTGGTTTTGAATTACTTTTCCTTCACAAGTAGTAAGAAGATGCCATCCTTTGTAAAAATTATAACAATGTTTCAATGAATACCAATCCTACCAGAATGGAGTACAGTAAAATGGAAGTGTATACCTTTGAGAGATGATGTGTTTTACTGCAATAAGGCTAACAAATTATGTGTTACAAGAATGAATTTTGATTTCTCATTAATCTGAGGAGAGGAACCATATCTTTCTTTTAAAGTTCAGCTGTGTATCACATGGATATGCTGGTGGTGAATGATAGATATCTCTCAAAACAGCTGAGAGAAAACATTTTATTGAATTTATCTTTACTAATTCTCCATGATCTCTCTATTTTTTATTCCTTCCCTCCAATGTTCTTTGATAGATTGCCTCCTCCCCAAGTCATTGACTTTCTCACGTCTTGCATTGTGTAATCCCATGCACAGTTTCTAATCAAGCCCCTTTGTTTAAATGCTCATTTAGGAGTATGAGTTGAATTCCATCAGCCAACTTTTTTTCTGAAGTGGATTTCTTCTCAGTTGTGTAGAGATAATGTCCTTGATGGCCATGGGAGAGCCAGACGATTCTAGTCCATGGACACCAATTATTGCTTGAACATAGGAACAGGATCTTCTGAGCTTGTTCTGAATTTCTATGACATCCAGGCTGATTGGTGACTTAGCTGTAAATGTGCAGATCAGTCCCATTGTGTACCTTGATAATTGGTTGTTTGGACAGCTAGGCTACTCAGCCCGTTGAAATAGATGCAACCCCACTGGATGGCATGTAGTGTCTTCTCTCTGTCACAAGGAATTTATGGAAACAAATTTGATGGCATCTTTTGTCATCACCTTCGCCCTGACTCTGTTGTCCTGAGCATATTGACGGCTCCAACAGAGGATATTCTACAGACATCTTATGTCCTAAAGTCCCTTGACCAAGTGATCTTATTTACATTTAAACCAGTGAAGAGACTGCCCACAATGTTACCACATAAGTCTTCAGATATTTTCTGATCAACCTGTTCGGCGATATTATTGCACACCTCGGGATCAGGTGGCACTTGAACCCAGGTCTCTTGAGTCAAAGGCAGGGACACTATCACTGTGCCACAAGAGCCCTTCTTGAGAGACTTCAGAACCAGACCCAATATTCTTCTCAACAGTTCCAAATGACAGCTATTGGATAGCAAATGGGAAATTGTGCCCATAATGGGCTTTTCATGCAAATTAATTAATTGGAAAACATGAGCCATTTACTGGTAGTGGCGATTAATAGATTTTAAAAAATGGTTAATTTGGTGATGGGAAAAATACCATTCAGTTGTGAGTGAGAGCACCTTTAGATTAAAAAAAAAGCAATTAGGAAATCTGGCACATTTCCTCTCCATGTCTTGAAGCTTTAACCAATCAGAATGGTGGTAAACTACCCTTGCTTGAGATCAGCTGAACCACTACTGACCAGGATTGAATCTGGGGTCTTTATGACCTGTATGGTTCAGGACAACATCCAGCAGCTCATTTAGTCTCTGAGCCATGCAGGAACATGGGATTCAGTATGAGCTTGGATACAAAATTGGCATAACAGCAGGAGGCAGAGAGTGGTGATGGAGGGTTATTTCTTGGACTGCAGCCTTGTGACCAGCAGTGTTCCACAGACATCAGTGCTGAGTCCACTTTTCTTTATCATTTATATAAAGGATTAGATGAGAATACAGAAGGCATGGTTACTAAGTTTGCAGATGACACCAAGATTGGAGGTATTGTAAACAGTGATGAAGGATATCTAAGATTGCAAAGAGATCTTGATAAATTGAGTCAATGGGCTGAGGAGCAATGGGTGGAATTTAATTTGAATAAATGCAAGATATTGCATTTTGGTAAAACAAACAAGGGCAGGACTTATTCAATTAAAAGTACGGCATTGGGTAGTGTTATAGAACAGAGAGATCCAAGGGTTCATGCACATAATTTATTAGCCATGATTGAATGGCAGAGCAGACTCGATGGGCCAAATGGCCTAATTCCTGCTCCTATGTCTTATGGCCTTATGCTTAGGGTCTTAATTCTTTGAAGTTTGCATCACATGTAGACAGGGTGCTTAAGAAGGCATTTAGCATGCTTGCCTTCATTGCTGATACCTTTGAATATAGGACTTGGGACACCATGTTGAGGTTGTACAGGACATTGGTGAGGCCTCTTTTAGAGTACTGGATCCAGTTCTGATCTCCCTGTTATAGAAAGGATATTCTTAAGGTGGAGAGGGTTTAGAAAAGATTTACCAGGATGTTGCTGGGAATGGAGGGTTTGAGTTCTCAGAGAAGTTGGGGCTACTTTCACTGGAGAGTAGAAGGTTGTGAGGTGACTTGATAGAGGTTTATAAAATCATGAGGAATATAGACAAGGTGAATGGCAGGTGTCTTTTCCCCAGGGGGGCGGATTTTAAGACTAGAGGGCATATTTTCAAGATGAGAAGAGAAAGATTTCTTATGTGAAACGAACTTCCAGAGGAAGTTATGTTCGCGGGTATAGTTATTTGACATTTGGATAAGTACATGAATAAGAAATGTTTGGAGGGATATGGGCCAAGTGCAGGCAGGTGAGACTAGTTTAGTTTGGGATTATGGTTGGTATGAACTTGTTGGACAGAAGGGTCTGTTTTCATGCTGAATGACTATGACTCTCTAACTGTTTTTCCAATGAGAATAAGTTGTCTGTCAGCAAAGTTGGCCAGTTCTATTAACTGCAATTCCTTAAAGCTCAAACTGTGTTAAGATTTTGTGTAACTTAATTCATTGATTAATGAAAGGTCATGAAGCAGAGATTCTTTAATTCACTGGCATCAGGACATTACAAACATGAAAAGAAATTAATGTTAAAAATGGAAGTATTTACATGGAACAAAGCTTGTGGTTTAAATTGGGTGGAGGAACTGGGTCTTTGTCAGTCTGCTCCTTCTTCCCATGAGGTCTCTTATCTCAAGACAATCTTCGTTCCAGAGACGGTGCATTTGACTGCTCCAGCTGTCCTCTCTCACCTTCGCCATCAACTAGAGAAGGTCCCACTATAACTGCTCAAGCTCCTCTGCTTGGTGTCTTCTTCACTGTTCCCATCTGCTGCTGGAGGTTGTGTAACATCCCTGCTTAAAGCTTTCTGGTCCTGCAACTGTAATTAGAGTCATAGAGATGTACAGTAGGGAAACAGACCCTCCGGTCCAACTTGTCCGTGCCGACCAGATATCCTAAATTAATTTATACCCATTTGCCAGCATTTGGGCTATATCCTTCTAAACCCTTCCTATTCATATTCCTATTCATATACCCATCCAGCTGCCTTTTAAACGGTGAAAGTGCACCAGCTTCCACCACTTACTCTGGAAGCTCATTCCGTACATGCACCACCCTCTGCGTCAAAAAGTAGCTCCTTAGATCCCTTTCCAATCTTTCCCCTGTTACCTGAAATCTATGCCCTCTAGTTTTGGACTCCCCTACCCCAGGGAAAAGACCTTGACTATTCACCTTTTTATGCTTCTCATGATTTTAGTCACCTCTATAAGGTCACCCCCTCAGCCTCCAACGCTCCAGGGAAAATAGTCCCAGCCTATTCAGTCTCTCCCTATAGCTCAAACCCTCCAACCTTGGCAACATCCTTGTAAATCTTTTCTGAACCCTTTCAAGTTTCAAGAAAGGGAGAACTGAACGCAGAATTCCAAAAGTAGCGCACAGTAACTAGCTACTAAACAGTTGCTTGATTAGTAGGTTCATTTGTACCATGATGACTGTAATGTACAAATCCGCATTAGCGGCAGTATCATCTTTTTGCATCACTGACCTGGACAAGTGATAATATTGAGGTAATATCCAGCATTTGCTTGAGGAAACCTTTGCAGCCTCTTATCAGTACTGCTAGCATCCAAGGGATCCATATTCAATGGCAGATCATCCACTTTGAGGTCTAGGTTGGTCAGGGTTCCTGGAGTCATATGTTTAGCAGCACCTTAGTTCAGTTTCCACCTCCTGGCAAGTCCTTCCTTTGCCATTTCTCAGGGTGGGAAGAAGTATCCACATGTCCTGGATTCACAACAACCTAACACCACAAAACATAGGAACAGATTAACAGGGGTGGCACAGTGGTTATCACTGCTGCCTCACAGCGCCAGGTACTGGGGTTCAATTCCACCCTCAGGTGACTGTGTGGAGTTTGCACATTCTCCCTGTGCAGGCTATGTGGAATGGCCATGCTAAAATGCCCATAGTGTTCAGGGATGTGTAGATTAGGTGGGTTATAGGGGGATGGGTCAGGATGGGATGCTCTGAGGGTCAGTGTGGACTTGTTGGGCCAAAAGGCCTGTTTCTACACTATTGGGATTCTGTGTAGGCACTTGGCCCATCGAGTCTGCTCTACTACTCGATGACATTATAGCTGATCTAATAATCCTCAACTCTACTTTCTTGCCTATCCCCATAATCCTCAATTCCCTTACTGATTAAAAATCTGTCTGTTTCAGCCTTGACAACCCAGCCCTGTGGGTAAAGAATTTCATAGACTCACAATCCTCTGAGGGAAGAAATTCCTCCTCATCTCTGTCTCAATTAGGTGATCCCTTACTCTGAGATTATGTCTTCTGATCCTAGGCTCTCCCACAAAGGGGAATAGCCTCTCTGCATATACTCTGTTAATTCCATAAGAATCTTCTACGTTTTGAGAAGGTCACCTCTCATTGTTCCAACCTTCTATGAGTATGATCCCAACCAACAGGATTAAGGAGGATCCCAAGGCTTTTTATACATATATTAAAAGAAGGGGATAGTCAGAGAATGGGTTGGCCCATTCAAGGACAAAGGCGGGAATGTATGTGTGGAGACAGAAGAGGTAGGTGATGTCATAAATGAGTACTTTGCATCAGTATTCACCAAAGAGAAGGAATTGGTGGAGAATGATCTCTTGGGAAAGGAGTGTCAAATTTCTAAGCCAAGCTGCTACTAAAAAGGAAGAGGTGTTGCGCATCTTAAAAAGTATTAAGATAGATAAGTCCCTGGGTCCTGATGAGATCTATCCCAGAATATTGAGGGAGACAAGAGAACAAATTGCTGGAGCATTGACAGACATCTTTGTATCCTCTTTGGTCACAGGTGAGGTCCCAGAGGACTGGAGAATAGCTAATGTTGTCCCATTGTTTAAGAAGGGTAACAGGGATAATCCAGGAAATTACAGGCCTGTGAGCTTCACGTTGGTGGTAGGGAAATTGGAAAAATTCTCAGAGACAAGATCTGCACACATTTAGAAGCAAATGGACTTATTAAGAAAAACAGCATGGTTTTGAGTGGGAGTGGTCGTGCCTCACTAACTTTATAGAGTTTTTTGAGGAGGTGACAAAGATTATTGATGAGTCAAAAGCAGTTGATATTGCCTACATGGACTTCAGTAAAGCCTTTGACAAGGTTCCTCATGGCAGACTGGTACAAAAGATGAAGTCACATGGCAAAATAGATACAGAAATGGCTTAGTCATAGGAGACAGAGGGTAACGGTGGAAGGATTTTTTTCGGAATGGAGGGTTGATACTAGTGGTGTTCCACAGAGATCAGTGCTGGGACCTCTGCTGTTTGTGATCTACATAAATGATTTGGAGGAAAGTGTAGCTGGTCTAATTATTAATTTTATGGGCGATACAAAGATTGGTGGCATTGCAGACAGTGAGGAGGATTGTTGGGATACAGCAGGGTATAGATCAGTTGGAGGCACGAGCAGAAACATGGCAGATGGAGTTTAATCCGAACAAATGTGAGGTGATGCATTTTGGAAGGTCAAGTACAGGTGGAAATTATACAGTGAATAGCAGAACTTTTAGGAGTATTGATATGCAAAGAGATCTGAGTGTGCAGGTCAACAGATCACTGAAGGTGACAGCACGGGTAGATAAGGCATTTTAAAAAAGGCTTATGGCATGCTTGCCTTCATTGAAAGGGATATGGAGTATAAGGATAGACAAGTTATGCTGCAGCTTTATAGAATTTTAGTTAGACCACACTTCGAATATTGCATACAGTTCTGGTTACCATGCTACCAGAAAGAGAGGATGCTTTAGAGACAGTTCAGAAGAGGTTACCAGGATGTTGCCTGGGATGGTGGATTTTAGCCGTGAAGAAAGTTTGGATAGACTAGGTTTGTTTTCACTGGAATGCAGGAGGTTGAGGGGTGACCTGTTAGAAGTTTATAAGATTGTGAATGGCATGGATAGAGTGGAAAGTATGAGGCTTTTTCCCCAGAGTGGAGAGGTCAATTACCAGGGGACACAGGTTCAAGGTGGGAGGAGGGATGTTTGAAAGAGATGTGCAAGTCACGTTTTTCACACAAAGGGTGGTGAGTGCCGGGAACGCACTGCCAGAGGAGATGGTAGAAGCAGACACAATAGCAGCATTCAAGAAGCACCTGGACGAATACATGAATAGGAAGGGAATAGAGGGATAAGGATTCGGTAAGTGAAGACAGTTTTAATATGGAAGGGCAAAATGTGTTAGCACAGGCTTGGAGAGCCAAAGGTCCTGTTCCTGTGTTGTATTGTTCTTTGTTCTACTCAACCTGTCCCCATGAAAAAAATCCCTCCAAGCCTGGAATCAGGTGAGCGAACCTTCTCTGGACTGTTCCAATGTCAGTATATCTTTGTCTAGATAATGGGACCAAAGCATTTAGCATTCTAGGTGTGATCTGACTCAGATAATTGTGTAGCTTAATATTGCTTTAGCAAGATCTCTCCATTTCCTTTGAAGTAAAGGCTGACAGTCCACTTGTCTTCTGTATTTCCTGCTGAACTTGGATGCTAGCTTTTTTTGTGATTCATGGACTGAGGGATTGCCAAATCCTTCTGTGAGTCATAGAGTCATACAATACGGAAACCCTTCCATCCAACCAGTCCATGCTGACTATAATCTCAAATTAAACTCGTCTCATGTGCCTGTGCTTAGCCCATATCCATCCAAACATTTCTTATTCATGTACTTAAGTAAATGCCTTTTAAACCAAATAGTACCCACATCCACTACTTTATCTGGAAGTTCATTCCAAAACCACTGTTTCTGTAAACAAAAAAGTCTCTCGTGTCTCTTTTAAATCTTTCTCCTCTCACCTTAAAATGCACCTTAGGCTGGAAATCCCCTGCCTTAGGGGATTCACCTTATCTATACCCCTGATTTTGTATCGAATTGGCAAGCTCACTCTGAATCCCATGTGATCTAAATTTACTAATTAGTTTGCTATGCAGAACCTTGTCAAAGGCTTTACTAAGGTCCAAGTAGTTTGTTCTGTAACTTTCTGCAGTTCTCCATTTTAATAATATTCAGCTCTTCTATTCTTCCTGTCAAAGTGCATAACCTCATATTTTTCCACAGTATATTTGCCATGTTTTTGCCCACTCAATTAACCTATTTCCCTATGTTGACTCTGCACCATCCTCACTATTTACCTTCCCACCTAATTTAGTGATAGCACTTTTACTTACATGGTCCAAGTCATTAATATATATTGTAAATAATTAAGGCTCCAGCACTGATCCTGTGACACTCCACTACTTACAAGTTGTCATCCTGAAGATGCCCCATATTCCAACTCTGTCTTCTATTAGTTAGCCAATCTTCTATTCGTACTGATATACTGACTCCAACATAAGTAACCTCATGTGTGGTGTTTTAATAAATATCTTTGGGAAATCCAAATGTGTTACTTTTACTGGTTCCTCTTTATTGCCCTGCTTGTTACCTCTTCAAAAAATTCTAATAAATTTGTCAGGTGTGATTTCCCTTTTATGAAACCATGCTTACTCTGATTGATCATATTACGTGTGCATTTAGAAACACTATTACATTTTTTTTTAATAGACTTTAGCACCTTCTCAAAGACAGATGTTAAGATAACTGGCCTACTGCTTTTTGCTTTCCTCCCTCTTGAATAAAAACAGACAAGTTGCCTCCAGGGATGCTATCTGCATACTGTCTGATTCCACTTCAGGTTCTGCAACAATGCGGAATAAGCTGTTTGCTTCCACATTATTAATCCCGCTTCCCCAGGGCTGACTGATGTCTAATTTTGAAATAAGATTAGAGGTGTTTTCTTCAGTCCCTCCACTGTCCACAACACTGGCAGGTTTAAGAACACCAAAGGCGTTCTTGATTGGAGGTAAACATCTTTGTCAATCTGTGTGATATGCTCTAGCAAAGTATGATATTGACTAGATGGAGATGTTTGGCATGAGATTTCAAGAACAGTGATGGTGCAGACAAGTATATTACAGTTGACATATCCACTCCTGTGTCAACACGGCAGATTATGCCCACCTTGCCAAATTTCACATTCTCTCTAGGGCACGTCTTTATTGCTCGATACAAGACTGATGCCTCTTCTGGAAGAAACCTCACCCCTTTTCTGATGAAGGGTCTAGGCCCGAAACGTCAGCCTCTCTGCTCCTATGATGCTGCTTGGCCTGCTGTGTTCATCCAGCCCTGCACCTTGTTGTCTCGGATTCTCCAGCATCTGCAGTTCCCACTATTTCTGAAACCTCACCCCTGCATGGATCTCAGTGGGAGGGGTTTCACACGTCCACTCACTTTAAAACTATGCCCCCTTGTAATAGCTACCTCCACCTTAGGAAAAAGTCGCTGGCTGTCCACTATCTATACCTACCATTCTACTGTACCATTTTGTACACCTCTATCAAGTCACCTCTCATCCTTCATCATTCTAAAGAGAAAAACCCTAGCTCTCTCAGCCTTTACTCATAAGACCTTCCCTCCATTCCACGCAACATCCTGGTAAATCTCCTCTGCACCTTTTCCAACCCTTCCACATCTTTCCTGTAATGAGGCGACCAGAACTGGAAAGAATAGTCCAGATGTGGCCGAACCAGGGTTTCATACAGCTGGAGCATAACTTCATGGCTCTTGAACTCAATCGCTCTATTAATGAAAGCTGACAACACCGTACACCTCCTTAACAACTCTATCCACCTGGGTGGCAGCTTTCAGAGAACTGTGGACATGAACCCCGAGATCCCTCTGCTCCTCCACACTGCCAAGAATCTTTCTGTTAACGCTG